GCCTATATTTTGTTCCTTAGAAAGCTAGACTTAGGAATAGCTCCCTGAGCTGGGAACATTTTGCTGGTCAGTGATGGCATGATATATATGTAATGAACAGAGAACATGGAAAGGTGTTCAGAGTACTTTTTTTTTTTTTACAAGAATAATAACTTGAATGTGATCTGCAGCTTTGGTTTAATTAAACCTGATCACATATATTAACCATTTCCACTTATGTAAGGCAGATGGTTTTGAAATGGGGAAGCAGCATTCAGTTATTCATCTCATTTTTGGTTCAATATATATGCCATGAGAGCCCTCTATGTAGTTAGCTCTGTGCTACGGCCTGAGAATACAAAAATCTGAGACCTCAGTCTTGCCCTGCAGCTCAGCTGGGAGACAGACAAAACTCTAGCTAACATTTAGCATTTCTTGATTACATACCTAGTATGCCATGGACCATACTAAGATAATTCACAATACTTATGCTCAGTTTTTAGATAAGGACACTGAGGGTTAGAGGAAACTTGAGTCAACTTGAGGGGAGTTTTGGCAAACTTGCCAAGTGAGAAAGTCATTACTATGAGCAAGTAATATATGGGTGATTTGGGGGGTTAGAGTGTCAGAGAAGACTTGCTAGAGGAGATGACATTTGACTCTTGAAGGATAAATTGGAGTTGTCAACATATACAGAAAGAAAGCTTTGCAGATGGAAGGAACATCATGTGTAAATGAATGCAGACACCAGAGATATGCTGTGTTCAGGAAATAGTGTTTCATTATGGCTGATACATAAGTTGGTGGCAGGAAAAAGACTGGAACACTAGGCAGAACCCAGGAATCAACCATAAATAAGAGTCTTTTTTCTTTTCTTTTTTTTTTTTTTTTTTTTTTTTTTGAGACAGAGCCTTGCTCTGTCACCCAGGCTGGAGTGCAGTGGCACGATCTCTGCTCACTGCAGCCTCTGCCTCCGGGGTTTAAGCAATTCTCCTGCCTCAACCTCCCGAGTAGCTGGGAGTACAGGCACGTGCCACCCACACCTGGCTAATTTTTTTGTATTTTTAGTAGAGACAGAGTTTCATCATGTTGGCCAGGATGATCTTGATCTCCTGATCTCGTGATCCCCCTGCCTCCGCCTCCAAAAATGCTGGGGTTACAGGCATGAGCCACCGCACCTGGCAGAGTCTCTTGTTTTTTATAGGCACAATATAAGGAACACTGTACCCAAAAGCTGTTCTTTACTATTCAAAACATTAGAGAGAAGAGCAGAAGATCAAACACCGGATGTTCTCACTCATAGGCGGGTGTTGAATAATGAGAACACATGGACACAGGTAGGGGAGCACTACACACTGGGGTCAGTTGGGGGGAAATGGAGGGCCAGTGGGGGGTGGGGAGCTGGGGAGAGATAGCAAGGGGAGAATTGCCAGATGTAGGTTGATGGGGAGGAAGGCAGCAAATCACACTGCCACGTGTGTACCTATGCAACAATTTTGCATGTTCTTCACATGTACCCCAAAACCTAAAATGCAATAAAATAAATAAATGGGAAAAAAAAACATTAGAGATTGCATAAACAGCTGCTTTCAGTGCTATACAGAGAAATTAGAGGGTTTTTTTTTTTTTTTTTTTTCACTGAGGGTCAGTCAACAAAGACCAGAAAAATTACTGGTACCACAGGTGGACAGAAACCTTAGGGCTCAAAAGTCATTGCTTCCCTTGGCATATCTCCTTATTCCTTCTCTCTTAGCAAATTATATTACATAGTGAGCAAGAGATAGCTCCCTCATCTCTTGAGTTTATAAGTTACAGTTCAGTCACATGAAAAGATACTGGCTTTGTTTGTTCCAGTTCCCATATCACACCGATAGAGCTGACTTGAGCCAGCTACTTATACCTAGATAAACCAGCTCTGGTCAGGAGGCTAGGGTCATGTAATATAAGCCATTGGTACACCTTTGCTAATCAAAGTGGAGTTATAAGGGGGTCACTGTGTACAGAACAGACACTTCCAAATCTGTCCCCTGTACCAAACATTATTTTGGCCCTACCTACTTTGGAAGTTTCTCAGCCCACTGTATGCCTGGTCTTCTTGATATGCTTGCCAGGTATGTTTTGCTGCTATTTTGGGAACATATGGGGTTCACTGCGCTCCCAATGGCCTAGTCCTTTCCTATGGTGGATCTATTCCTATTACAGTATAAAGCAATTTGAGGCCGAAATTGCCATAACACCCTGCTCCAATTTTCTCTTTGCACTTTGAAGCCCACAGGGCATCCTTCAGTAGCTTAAAATTATCTTATTAATCATCATAACTATCTAAAGGCCAGTGAGTGGGGCCTGGTGAGTGCCTTCTTAAAGGGTAACAGCCCTGGATGAAAAAGAGGGAAGTCATGGGGAGGGCAGTTGATACCGATGTGCCCAGGCCTAGAGAATTAGCAAGAGTTGCATTTATAAATGTAATGCCTGGGCTTTAGAACTAGACATAGTAACAGTGATTAACTGTGTTTCCCCTTTGTGGGTCCTCTTACTCTCAGGAGCTTTCCAAGGTTTATGCTTCCCTGCCGAGGATTTGGACACTTCTTTTATCAATGATTTTTTTCAGTGACTCTAAAGAGCCTTTCCTGACACTCCTTACTGAAGTAGCAATTGATATTTGAAGTTTTTCTCTCAGCCAGGTTTTCTTAGAGCTATTGTCAGAGGTTGGGATGCAGAGATTGCTAACCTTAGACAGTGTTGAGAGAGAAGCTTCTTCTACCCTCCAAAATACCAAAGTAAGCTGATCTGGCTGAAACTATCCACTTTCAATATTCCTGGGATAGATTTCTTCCAAAGGAATCCAATCTCCCTGCTCAAGTCTTGCTGCCTCCTCTAGAATTTGTTTTGCTTTTTATAAATAGAATTATCCCGACTTCCTCAAGCTAAGAGTTGCTTATTTCCAGAGTGAGAGCCTACTTTTTTCAAAGTGAAGTGGGAAGAAACCAAAGCCAAAATCAAGCAACTTCCTAGGAAGAGTAATTTCACCTGGAGCATTTGGAGCAATTTCACTTGGAGCAATTGTTTTCTTTCTCTTTCCTCTTTGATAAAGTCAGTTCAAGTTGCAATAAAGTAAATATGGGTTTCTTACTTTGGATCCTCTTTCTCCTTTGCCCAACTCTTTAATTGACAGGTTAAGGCAGTATTTATCACCAATAGCAATAATAATTAACATTTATTGAGCAATTACTAAGTGCAAGACCCTATTCTAAATTCTTGACAATATCTATATACTAAAATGATCATGATAATTATATAACCCCCAAAATATACCTAACATTTAATGTTCAGTCAATGAATGGTAGCTTTTGTATATTCTCTATCTTTTGTCCTATTCCTTTTCCTTTAAAATGTACTTGGATTTAAAATGTACTTCGATTGGGCCTATTATAAGGACATGCTTTCTGATCTCAGAGAAGACATACTGGCTGCTCCACCATCATTTCATCTAACCCCACAGTAACAGTTTTAAGACTTTTCCGTATATATCATGCCCCATTTATACCTACTTTCAACTCTGGCTTCCTAATTTGCTGATCAGATTATGTGAGTTCTCTCATTTCTCCTCCACCACACCTAAGTCAGTATTGCTCAAACTTTAATACGTATACATCACCTGTGGATCTGCTTACAATGCAGATTCTGAGTCAGAAGATCTGGGGTGGGACCTAAAGAGTTTCTAATTTTTTATGTTTCTGAGTGATGCAAATGCTGTTGGTTGAACCACAGATTGCGTAGCAAGCACCTAAAGAAGCTCAAGGTTTATTAACCTCATTTTTCTTAACAGATGGGAAGATTGAGACTTAAAAATGCTGAATGATTTTCTCAAGAGCACACCACTAATAAGCGGTAGAGTCTAAACTTGAACCCATTTCCTGATGGATTCATTGTGTACCAATACCCTACACTTCTGTAATTATTTCTCAAAGCAATTCCTTAGCAATTCCTTGATGTTGACTTGCTTTTTCTTCCTTAGCAATTCCTAGATGTTGACTTGCTTTTTCTACCTCACCTTAGCTTATGGGAATCTTTTTGGAGGTTATGTCTGATCTGAACACAACTTTGCTTTGCTGAATTATCATTAAAGTTTCCTTGAAAATAGTTTTAAGTTATTTTGGCTGGAAATGTCTCATAACTAGTGCATGAAAACTTCAAAGAACTCTGAAACAGCAGAATCCACTGTAAGAATCAACCCAAATGTCCAGCAATGATAGACTGGATTAAGAAAATGTGCTACCAGGTGTGGTGGTGCATGCCTATAATCCCAGCTACTCGGGGGGCTGAGGCAGGAGAATCGCTTGAACCTGGGAGGTGGAGGTTGTGGTGAGCCGAGGCTGTGCCATTGCACTTTAGCCTGGGCAACAAGAGCAAACTCCATCTCAAAAAAGAAAAAAGAAGATGTGCTACATATACACCATGGAATACTATGAAGCCATAAAACAGAATGAAATCACGTCCTTTGTAGGACATGGATGGAGCTGGAAGCCATTATCCTCAGCAAACTAACACAGGAACAGAAAACCAAACACTGCACGTTCTCATTTATAAGTGGGAGGTGAACAGTGAAACACATGGACACAGAGAGGGGAACAACACACGCTGGGGCCTTTCAGGGGGGCAGCAAGGGAGGTAGAGCATCAGGATAAATATGTAATGCATGTCGGGCTTAATACCTATGTGATGGGTTGATAGGTGCAGCAAACCACCATGGAACACTTTTACCTATGTAACAAACCTGCACATTCTCCACATGTATCCTGAAACTTAAAATTAAATTAAAACAAAACAAGGAAATATTCCCATTAAAAATGGACAAAGGACATGAACAGACACTTCTCAAAAGATGATATACATGTGGCCAACAAACATATTGAAAAAAAGCTCGATATCACCAATATCACTGATCATTAGAGAAATGGAAGTAGAAACCACCGTGAGATACCGTCTCACACCAGTCAGAATGCCTGTTATTCAAAAGTCCAGAAACAACAGATGCTGGTGAGATTTTGGAGAAAATGAAACTCTTGCACTGTTGGTGGGAGTGTAAATTAGCTCAACCATTGTGGAAGACAGTGTGACAATTCCTCAAAGATGTAGAGGCAGAAATACAATTTGACCTAGCAATCCCATTACTGGGTATATACCCAAAGGAATATAAATCATTATTTTATAAAGATACATGTATGCATATGTTCATTGCAGCACTGTTCACAATAGCAAAGACTTTGAATCAACCCAAATGCCCATCAATGATAGACTGGATGAAGAAAATATGCTACATATATGCAGCTATAAAAAGGAATAATATCATGTCCTTTGCAGGGACATGGATGGAGTTGGAAGCCATTATCCTCAGTGAATTAAGGCAGAAAAAGAAAATCAAATACCACATGTTCTCACTTATAAGTGGGAGCTGAATGATGAGAACACATGGACACATGGGTGGGGGTGGGGAATAGCACACAAAAAGGCCTGTCAGAGGGTGAGGGGTGGGAGGAGGGAGAGCATCAGGAAGAATATCTAATGGATCCTGGGCTTAATACCTAGGTGATGGGATGGTCTGTGCAGCAGGCCTCCATGGCACAAGTTGACGTATGTAAACTGCACATCCTGCACATGTACCTCCGAGCTTAAAATAAATGTTGGAAATTAAAAAAAAAAAAAAAAAACTACAAAAGAAAACAAGATGTTATTCTTCCTGCATTTTTCTCATCTCTGTCTTTTTCAGCCCAGACTGGCAGTGTTTCTGTTGGTATAAAATTCTCATAAACCTCATTCACAGGTACCAAGAGTTAATACTTCAACATATCTTTTGGCAGGGCACAATTTAACCCATAACACTTAGTTATCCATAAATATCCATAAAGAGGGACATATATATATATATATTTATATTCATATATATATATATATATCATAGAACATTCATGTATAGTGTGTACATGGTTGGGAGTCAACAGATACTTATGGTCTGATCTATAAAAACCTTTCTTGATGTTCCTTAATCATTCTAAACACATTCCTGCCCCAAGACTTTTGCGTTCACTTTTACTCTAACAATCTTCCTTTTACCCTAGATATTTTCATGACTTACTCCCTGTCTTCATTCAGATTTCTGTTTAAAAACTGTCTCTTCAGAGAAGTCTTCCTTGACTGTTCTATACAAAATAATTCAGCCCCACCCACCCTTAACATTCCTAATTAATCTTTCTTGTCTGCTTCATTTTTATTCTTACATGTGATACTTGCTGACCATTATGTATTTATTTTGTTTATTGCCTATTTCCCCTTATTGGAATGTAAGTTTCATGAAAGCTTGGACTTTTGTTTGTTGTTGTTTGATGCAGTTTTTCCCAGAGCATAAAATAGTGCATGGCACATATTAGGCAGTCAATATTTCTTCATGCAGTGAATTAACATAGAGGAAGAGGGTTTTTATAGAGCATCTACTTAATGCCAGGTACTTTCATATATTACTTCATTTGATACTCAAATGCCTGGGGATTTTGTAACACAAACAGGGAAAATCGGGTGAAAGCAAATGTGAAAATCAGTGTTTGCAAATTTTCTAGTGGAACAAAGTGACTCGTTTCTCCTATTATTATGTGGAGGACTGGCGATTTCTTTTCTTTTCTTTTCTTTTCTTTTTTTCTTTCTTGAGACGGAGTCTCACTTTGTCTCCCAGGCTGGAGTTAAGTTGTGCCATCTCGGCTCACTGCAACTTCTGCCTCCCGGGTTCAGGCGATTCTCCTGCCTCAGTCTCCCTAGTAGCTGGGATTACAGGCACCTATCACCATGCCTGGCTAATTTTTGTTTTGTTTTGTTTTTTGAATTTTTAGTATAGAAGTGGTTTCACCATGTTGGCCAGGCTGGTCTCGAACTTCTGACCTCCAGTGATCCACCTACTTCCACCTCTCAAAGTGCTGGGATTACAGGCATGAGTCACCATGCTTGGCCTGGTGGTTTCATTTCATTTAGCAACTTTTATACTCCAAGAGTTCTACCATAAATAAACTATGGTCCCTGCTGTCAAGGAGCTAACAGTTTAGTTTGGAAAGGAGGTAACATTTCACTTGTTTTTGAAAGAGTCCTATGTATTAAGCAGACAAAAGGGCAAGGGGGCAATATATGTAAAGGTGCAACTGCATGAGAGGTCATGATTTCTACCTTTCACTACACATGTGTGCGTGCGCACACACCAAGTATTATATTGTAACTAGGAGCACACACACACTGCATATTATACTGTCTTAACTAGGAGCAGCAGCAACAATACCATGTGTTGCGTTTACTACACTCCAGGCACTGTGCAAAGCACTAGAGTAAGGGATGAATATGGCTTGATTTGTGCTGTAAATATATTAATGGTCCAATTGGGCGGGTGAGGCCCATAAAGAAATAGATATACAAGGCAGTGAAGAGTGCCCAACATGAAGGGAAGACACCACGTGCTCCAGGAATCTAGATTTAAGACCAATTATAGTGGACAAGATGGTTGGAAAAGACATCAAGGAGATGGAAGGGCTTGAGCTACATTTTGAAGATGAAATTTTATCAAGGGCAGAAAGGAGAGAGGCAATTTTTATGGGGACAAGCATGGTCCAAAGTCAGCCTGCTAGACTATAAGTTCCATGAAGACAGAAAATATGTCTGCCATTTAAAAACATTTTTTAAATTATTGTGGGTACATAGTAGGTGTATATATTTATGGAGTACATGAGATATTTTGGTACAGACATGCAATATGTAATAATAACATCATGGAAAATTGGGTATTCATCCTCTCAAGCATCATCCTTTGTGTTACAAACAATCCAGTTATACTCTTTTAGTTATTTTAGCACCATATTCTTGGTGCCTACTACATGGCTTGACACTTAGTAGAAATTTGCTAATAGTAGTAGTCATAATGTGTAACCTCTTGAGTAGACAAGTTTGGATGAAGTACAGATTCTACTGCATGAGTAGTTAGAAATAAGAATAGATTGTATAAAGGATGTTGCATACCTGTGACACTGATGCCCTTCAGGATGCCTCTTATCCAAATCCTATGAGCCTGAGGAAACTTTAGAGGAAAGCACTAGGCACTAGGGAGCTGAGCCAAGATTGTCTTTGCAAATCTGTGACATCTCCCTGTCTTTCCAGACTTCTTATCTGTGTATTTGCAGATAAGAATTGGGCTGCTTATCAATCCCATTACTGGGTATATATCCAAAGGATTATAAATCGTTCTACTATAAGGACACATGCACACGAATGTTCATTGCAGCACAGTTTACAATAGCAAAGACCTGGAACCAACCCAAATGCCCATCAATGATAGACTGGACAGGGAAAATGTGGCACATATACACCATGGAATACTATGCAGCCATCAAAAACGATGAATTTGCGTCCTTTGTAGGGACATGGATGAACCTGGAAACCATCATTCTCAGCAAACTTACACAAGAGCAGAAAATCAAACACCGCATGTTCTCACTCATAGGCGGGTGTTGAACAATGAGAACACATGGACACAGGGAGGGGAGCACTACACACTGGGGTCTGTTGGGGGGAAATGGGGGAGGGACAGTGGGATTGGGGAGTTGGGGAGAGAGAGCGTGGGGAGAAATGCCAGATATAGGTGAAGGGGAGGAAGACAGCAAATCACACTGCCATGTGTGTACCTACGCAACTATCTTGCATGTTCTTCAAATGTACCCCAAAACCTAAAATGCAATTAAAAAAAGAAAAAAAAAAAGAATTAGGCTGCTTAACTATAAAGTACTCTCCATGTTTCTAAAATTGCAAAAATATATTTATTCAGAGTCAATTTTTAGTAGACTTCCTGACTACACTAGTCTGTGTATTTACTCAGACACTCAATTTCCTACTTGCCATTCACTCTCTTATATATTTACATTCATAATTGTTGAGAATATGGTAATTTATTTTGTATATGGGGGCTAACAGTTGGGATCAGGGTCTAGGGCTTACAACTAAAATATACCGTATGTTACCTTTAAAAAATATCCTTAGCCGCCGGGCTCGGTGGCTCACGCCTGTAATCCCAGCACTTTGGGAGGCCGAGGCAGGTGGATCACGAGGTCAAGAGATCGAGACCATCCTGGTCAACATGGTGAAACCCCGTCTCTACTAAAACTACAAAAAATTAGCTGGGCATGGTGGCACGTGCCTGTAATCACAGCTACTTAGGAGGCTGAGGCAGGAGAATTGCCTGAACCTAGGAGGCGGAGGTTGCGGTGAGCCGAGATCGCGCCATTGCACTCCAGCCTGGGTAACAAGAGTGAAACTCTGTCTCAAAAAAAAAAAAAAAAAAAAAAAAATATCCTTAGCCAAGCAGGCACACATATGAGTGTGGAAGGCCGAGGGGGTTTATGTAAGGTCACCTTCCTCACTTTTATACAGCTCTACATGGCAAATTAAGTTGAGTTTTATTTATTTTATCCTCTGGTTTAATTACATAATTTTTTTGGTTTTACTTTGAGTTTCAGGATACCTGTGCAGAATGTGCAGGCTTGTTACATAGGCATACATGTGCTATGGTGGAAATATTTATTTAGGTGTAATTCTGCCAAATAATAAAAACAGAAGGAAATTGTGGTTAGAGAGAGGTGTTTAACAAGGTTATAGAGTAGAAGATTTGATGCTGGAGAGATTAAGGTGCAATAAGAAGTTAGGGAGAAATGCAGCTCATTATTAGAGGGTAAATGATGTGGTACCTGAGGTCTGCACATTACCTCTTAACAATTTCTGTCTTTCAGATGGACACTCTTAAGTTGAATTTCTCACAAAAATCATATGCCTATGTAATAAAGCTACTGATTTCCTTTGGAACTTTTATCTTTAAGATAATAGTTTACATGTATTAGTACTTGAAATCTAGGATTATTAACTAATATGGGCATTGTAGTTAATGACAGTTGAAGGGTTCTAATTTTGGATGGTGTCCAGGGAAGGGGAAGTTATTTCTAAAAAGCCTGTTCCCCCTCACTGGACCAAACAACTCTTCCTTGTAGTGAACTCATTACATGTGAAGTAATCGCACCACCTATCTAGTGGGAGAGCCATCCAAATGAGAAACCTAAAATAATTGGTTCTTGGCCAGGCGCAGTGGCTCACGCCTATAATCCCAGCACTTTGGGAGGCTGAGGCGGGTGGATCATCTGAGGTCAAGAGTTCGAGACCAGCCTGACCAACATGGAGAAACCCTGTTTCTACTAAAGATACAAAATTAGCCGGGCATGGTGGCGCATGCCTGTAATCCCAGCTACTCAGGAGGCTGAGGCAGGAGAATCACTTGAATCCGGGAGGAAGAGGTTGTAGTGAGCTGAGGTTGCACCACTGCACTCCAGCCTGGGCAACAAGAGTGAAATTTCATCTCAAAAAAAAAAAAAAAAAAAAATTAGTTATTCGTAGAGATTCCTTATTTCTCCACTTTAGGATATTTTAGGTATTGATTTTTGTTTTATTTTAACTCATATCTTCAAAGGAATTCCCCAAATGATGTTTCTAGCTAACTTGGAATTTGTTACCTCAGTTCTGGGAGAGGCCTTTTTTTGAACGATTATTATCTAAAGTGTGTTGTTGCTTTTGGGTCACAGCATGCTTGTGTATGTCTGTTACCATGTCACTGTGGTCCTATGCTGAGTGCCCTTAGGGGACTTGAATCTTTCCAGTAGACCACGTTTGAGATAGTATGAGTCACTGTGCAGTTAGCCCACACTTGAGAGGATGAATGTATGTGCACTATCACTTTGCTCTGAGTGGAAGTAGGTTATTTTGTACTATTTTCTCTGTGTTTTGTTATTTGACTTATTTTCTCTGTGTTTGTTCCTACAGCCCTTTTTTCATATGTTGCTCGATCTCCCTTTCCCTTCTTGGTGCTTATACATCTCAGACCCTTTGGTCAAACCCTTGCCAATAACAGCATTTTGGTTCTCAGTTCTCACTGTTCTCTCTGGTCGTGGAGGCTTTGAATAAAAATGTACATAGCTATGGAGTGGGGTTTAGCTGGAAAAGGTGCACTTGCAGCTGCACGTTAACTTCTGGCTCCTCAAACAGTAGGCTGGCAGTAAGGCAGGGAAGTTGTTTTCCCATTTCTCACTGAGCAGATTGTGAATATTTCCATATGGATTTTCTATTGTTAATGTTACTCTGATTCTTTGTTTTAAAATAAAAATTCTGAATGTACACACACATACACAAATCCTTAGCCTACTATTGGTATAGTCAGTAAGTCTATCAAAAATTGACTCTGAATAAGTACAGCATTTTTGCAATTTTAGGAGCATGGAGTGTACTTTATAATTAAGCAGCCCGGTTTTTTTGTAACTCAAGGGCCACAGAGACTAGATATTAAATAATCAAAGTTGAATTATAGTTCACTTAAAGCTTCCAAAGCCAGATCACATGCTCAGACATACAGGTAGACAAACCTAAGAAAAATGTGAGTTGTAGGAAGTGGAATGAAATTTCCTAGAGAGAAAGGGGTCTATAGAAGTGCCAGTGCAAAATTGTGAATAAATTGAAGTACAAAAGCAGACAGTAGGACAAATAGGATGAAAGTACAAATTATGGGGTCTAACCAACACTCCTTGAATATAAAAGTATCAGGAAGAGGTTTTAGAATGCAGTGGAAATATTTTCTCTGGTTAGAAAACAATTATACATATACTCTTGTGATAACAGAAGATTTCTTGATTTTGGCATTATTGATATTTTGAGCCAGATAATGTTTTCCTCTGGAGGGCTATCTTGTCCATTGTAAGATGTTTAGCAGTATCCCTGGCCTCTACCCACTATATGCCAGTAACAAGTCCTCAGTTGTGACAATGAAAAATCCA